TGTCCTCACAAGTCACCTTCTCCATGTCATACCCATGTTATTATCCAAATCTGTGTCCTCATATCTCACAAACACGCGCGCACACACGCACACACACACTCAGCCGGTAACGGAGAGCTGTCGGTAGGTTCGGATCTATAAATAACCGCGCGGCCTCGACGCGCATCTGCTGTTACCGATCACCGAGCGCTGTCAGCCACGCGGAGGAACCGTTAGCGTTACCTTGTGAAGACACATAGGACATGATCCTCCGGCTCTGGCCGCGATCAGCTCGCTCCGGGATCCATCCCCGCTCCTCCAGCGCGACGCGACGCGAGCTGCTGTATCGATCCGAGCGCCGAGCGCAGTGATGTGGCCGGACGCGCGTGCGCAGGCGCGAGCTGGAGGAGTAACGCGCGAGTAGCTTACACTGCTGCTGCTCAGCTCGAGCTCAAGCTCTCACACGACCCGGTTTAATATGCACTCATTTGCTATATATATATATATATCTACAGTGCGTGCATAATTATCAGGCACGTTGGATTTTTTCTTTCCAAGCACATTTGATCAACTCCAAACCTCATCAATCTTAATAACTACTATTGATCTTGTATTTCATCATTTATGAGTGATATATAATTGTCCATGACGGCTGGAAGTGCAAAACTCCTTATATTCAGCTGTGCAGAATTATTAGCATGTTTTCTTCTACTGATAAAATGAGCCAAAAAGAGATGAGAAATATTCTATTATACAGGTGTAAAAGCATCGGGAAGCATATTCATATATATAATGTACAATGCATGCATAACTATTAGGAATGTTAATATTCTGATCATATTTCTTTCCAAGCACCTTTGACTAATTCCAAACCTCATCAATCGTAATAACTACTATTGATTTAGTAATTAATAATTTATACGTGACATATAATGGTCCATGAACACTGTAAAAAATTAATCTGTAAAATAAGAGAAAAAGCACTGGCAGCTCGTTACACATGACATTATCCTTTCATTTCACAGACATTTCTGTTAACTCTAAAACAATGCAATGAAGTGTACAGTTCTAAATACTGGTAAAAAATTAATATGGAAAAATTGCTTAAAATTATAAAAAAAAAAATTTTGAGTGAAGTGGAGATGGACTAAAAATGTGACCCTGGACCACAAAACCAGTCATAAGGGTACATTTTGTTAAATTGAGATGTATACATAATCTGGACGTTGAATAAATCAGCTTTCCATTGATGTATGGTTTGTTAGGATCGGACAATATCTGAAAATCTGGAATCTGAGGGTGCAAAAAAATCTAAATATTGAGAAAATCATCTTTAAAGTTGTTCGAATGAAGTTCTTAGCAATGCATATTACTAATCAAACATTAAGTTTTGATATATTTATGGTAGGAGATTTACTAAATATCTTCATGGAACATGATCTTTACTTAATATCCTAATGATTTTTGGCATAAAAGAGAAATGTATAATTGTGACCCATACAATGTATTGTTGGCTATTGCTACAAATATCCCCCAGCGACTCAACACTGCTTTTGTGCTCCAGGCTCACATATAAAAATGAAAGTCAATACAAATGCTTCTTCTAATCTCTATGAACAAAACTGTGTGAGAAGTGTGTGTGATTACAGCAGGAGCAGCAGAAATGAATTGGAGGTCATCAAATCTAGTTTTTGGTGCCGGAGGAGCTGTGTGTTAATTAAAGCAGCACAAACATCCCAGAATCCAGCGCATCGTGCGCATGATGTTTGTGCTCGGGATAAGTTTGGATTTCTGTGATTTTACATTCAAAGTCACATCGAGAGCAGAGCAAAATAATATCCAGTGATTATCACTTAAAACAATATTGACAGAAAAACAGCCAAACTGAAGAATCACACCCATCATATTTCTGTTCGATATTCATGCAAAACCCAGAGACGCCACAGAAGTGAACATCCACAACATCTGTAGTGAATTTCACAAAGAATCAACAAAGAAACACTGAATGAGAGTGAAGTTTTGAAGTAGAAAAACTCAAATTTAGCATGTGAAGTACAATTATTCATTCTGAATGAACAATGCTTTTTTGTTGTTGTTTTTGATTGAATCTCAGCTCATTCGTCACACGGGAAGCTCGGCTCCACTGCAGTGCATTATGGGATACCGTGCTCACGTTTGCCAATGCAAAAATAATAACAGCATCATTCTTCAGCAATACTGTTTATTATTAATATTATTAAATTATCCTAAATAAATGTTATGTTGACACGTTTGCATCCTTTGTCATGTTCTTGCTTCCACCACAGGATAAAAAACAAAAAAAAGAAGATAATTGTGACTTTTTTTTATATTTGCAATTTTTATTTAAAATTATATATATTTTTTTTCAATTTTCAAGTTTATATATATTTTTACAAATATTTTAAATATTTATTTAAATATTTTTTATTTATTTTATTTTGCCAAGAATGTCAGAATTGAAAAAGAAAACGTGAGCTAAAAAAGTCCCAATTACCTTTTTTATTTATTTATTTTTAATACCTCTGTTAATTCTATTTCACCATCTGTTATAATTATTTTATGATTGTTTTGATATGCTGTTAATTTTGTCCGAATCAGGTTATGATTGTACATTTTTTTCTTAACCATCTGTAACGATAATTTTATTATTATTTTATATACTGTTCATTTTGTATTAAACATCTGTTATTATTATGATTATTTTTAAATGCTGTTAAGTTTATGACTTAATCACTGATTTATAATTTACAACTTATATCAACTAAAATGGTTTCTACACCATTTTTTAAGTGCAATAAAATCTACAACTGTAAAATTATATCTTGTATGATAACTTCTATTCATATGACACTTAATTTTATATAGATAATGTAATGTGTATATATCATCAACTGTGTAAAATGTACCATTTTACAACTCTTTATTGTCATAAATAACAACGAGATAACATTAGAGCGACCTACGATGTAAAGTGCAATAAGAATCCATAAAGTACAGTACTTTATATCAATTTATACATCATTGTAAAACTGTTTCTAAATCTGTCTTGGACCTTTAAAACACTGTTAATATGTCTGAATCATGCTAGGATTGTGTTTAACTCTTTAATATTTGTACATTTTCTGCCCAGCGCTCGAATGGCGTTAGTTAGTTCTAGTCAACGACTGCATTAACAAGCAAATGAAAGAGTCCACAGAACTCATTTAAACTCATTTAATTTCTCTCCGCCCGGCGTCTTACTGCGCTTACCCACAATGCATTTCACACATTCAGCGAGTGCTTGCTACATACAAGAGCTAGAGTTAGATTCTCATATTGCACTTGGATTATACAACAACTAGGAGTTAGAAACTCTCTTGAGCTCGTCGTGTATAGCGTTCGCCGAGTCTCCTCCCGGCGTAGAAGCGTATAGAAACTGCGTTTGCGTTCCGTAGCATTGCATGGCGTTTGGCTCTCAGATGGTCTTACAGTATAGATACACGTATATATATATATATAGATATAAGCAGTGTTGGGGAAAGTTACTTTTAAAAAGTAATGCGTTACAATGTTGCGTTACTCCATGAAAAAGTAACTAATTATGTTACTTTTTATGGAAAGTAATGCGTTACATTACTTTTGCGTTACTTTTTAAATCTGTACAGGGCTCGCTTGCTCGTTTTTAACATTAAAAGTTCTATTTTAAGCCTTTTCACAGCAAAAGTGAAGTGAATGCGCCTCAGGCTGAAGGGAAAGTACAGTAGAATACAGAAGACGACATTTCAACACACTTCAGCAATAAATAAAGACACACAGATGTTCGTCTAGAGTAATGTGTGCTTATTAGTACGCTTGAACTGCATCATCGAAGACATTGGTTAATAGAACGGGATTAAATACATAAAGCATATTTGTGTTGTTTAACATTTAATTATTGCAGGTTTGCGTCATATTCTGAGTTGCATTATTTTTATTCATTTTGAGGAAAACTGAATCTGTGTGTTTTGTGAGAGAGATGAATTAATGCATATTCATATTTATTTTAGAGCTACAGTAACATCTTCTGATTTCTGTCACCATGGCAACACCAGAGCTGTCAATCAATAAATTGGAAACAAAAAGAAACTTGCGTTACTTATTTGAAAAAGTTACTCAGATATTCTCTTGTAAATTAAAAAGTAATGTGTTACTTTACTAGTTACTTGAAAAAGTAATCTGATTACGTTACTTGTAATGCGTTCCCCCCCAACACTGGATATAAGTATGTGGCAAGACCAACAAAGATGGCTGGCTCGTTACTGATCTCTAGTGCAAACTCAGTGTACTGCGTCTCTAGAGTATTGCTGTGGTTTTATCCATGCATAGCATATAAAGGTCATGCGGAGGAGGTCAGGTCAAGAGGAAAGAAACGCTTATAAAACAGAGACAGTGACAGCAGCTCAGAAGGAAGAGCGTCCCGGAGAAACCTGCGGACGGGAAAGAAGAGAGAGGTTGGAAAGAGAACGCAGGGAAATCAGGACTAGTTAGGGCTGCTAGTTAACTCACCTGTGCTAGTGGACTCATTCTGCTACCTGCACACCGGCGCAGTTGTCCTTGCTCTCGGACGCGATGGCCAGATACTCCGCTCTGCAACACACAACACAAGCATCTCCTGAAGGAACATACACACACACCGCTGCAAAAACACTCATTTTAGTATTACTGAGATACTGCGGTGTTTTAAAAGATATTTAGAATCTGCTTTGATTTCAGTCATTTCGTTGTAAACACTGCCGTCACAACTACTTGACTTTTTGTTTTGTTTGAAGTCATGAAAACGTGTGCTTTTCTTCATTTTAGTTTTAGTAAACCATTACTTTTGAGCCTGTAAAGTTGTATTTAATGATTATTTATAAATATATCAATTATTTATTATATATATACAGTGGGTACGGAAAGTATTCAGACCCCCTTAAATTTTTCACTCTGAATTATCTGCTTTTTGCAAATTAACTGGTATAATCATTTTAAAGGTCCATTTTGGTTCATTTCCAGAGATACTGGGATCTCATTACGGCGCCATTTCCAAGTTGTTGAATTTTCCCATTTTTAATGGTCAAAAACCAAATGTGGGTCACTTTGCATTCAGCAGATATTTTCTGTAATTAAAGAAGAACGTCTGAAGAACAAATAATGTTGAAACTATAAATGTAGACTATCAAAACTACTGCATTGAACAGAGTGACAAAAATGCTCTTTTGCCAAAGTTTGCATGCCTGTAACTCATAACGTATTATATATATATATATATCTCAATATCCTTTGAGATTATGGTTCTTAATGAACTTTTCTTTTGCTGTCTCCATTGTTAAGGCCCCAAGTAGTTCAGTTCCAGAGATACGAGGATCACAATGTGGCTCCGTGTGCAAATTTGACCCATTTTCGAAATAATATAATTTTTACCGAAAACCAAATACACTTTGCATACAGCTGATGCAAGGAATGTTTAATATTTTGGCTATTCATTTATGCATTTCATTCACCAGAAAACACAGTGATTGAGACGCAGATGTCAGGTGTTGTCGTACCTTTGGCCACGACGGTGAGGGGCACCAGTTTGGTGGCGATGGTGGAGAACTCGTAGTGCTCGTAGCTGAGCACGCGGTTGAAGATGCAGCGGTAGACGCCGGAGTCGTTGAAGGTGACGTTGAGGAGGTCCACAGACGCGTCCTGAAGGTCAAAGGTCTTCTTGCTGCCGTGCCACTCCATGCGATCCTGAAAGCGCTCGTCGATGATGCTGGACGCCTCGCCGTCGTAGCTATAAATCTGTCCAGGAGACACGCCAGAGCTCAGCAGAAACACCTCAGATACAGACGGAGACGGCTCTCTTCGCTTCGACATGTTCTATCTTTCTATCTTAATCACCTGCTTTTTTTATTTAGTTAGTTACCTATTTAAAGCAATCTTCACGTATTTATTATAAATGTTATTTATTTTATTTGAATTATTAAATGCATTTATTTTAATAATGATTTATTTCAATCAAATTATTTAGATATTGACTTAAATTTTATTTTAATCATTTTTAATCAGTTATTTTTATTGACGTCAAATTGCAATTATTTTAATCAAACGCTTTCTTTTATTTTAGTCATTCGTTTATTACTTATTTACATCAAATTTGATTAATTTTAATCAAATATATTTATTTTACTAATGTTTTATTTATTTTAATCAAAGGCGTTTGCTTTATATTTTTATTTACATCATTTTAGTCAACATTTTAATTTAATATATTTTACTAACGTTTTATTTATTTAATGCTTTTGTTTATATAGTCATTCAATTATTTATTTATTTATATTAAACTTAATTTATTTTACTTTATTTAAATAAAAAATTATTATTTAAAAAAAATTGAATTACTATTTTATCTGAATCAATGAATTTAATGAAAAGTATTGATTTGAACAATGTTGTATTTATTTTTAACAAAAGCTTTTGATTGTTTATTTAGTCATTCATTTTTTATTTATTCAGATTAATTTTATTTATTCAGTTCGATTCATTTTAAAGTAATTTTTCTTATCAATGTATTTATTTTAATGAAACGTATTAAATTACTACGCATTTATCTAAATCAGATTCTATTGAAAAGTCTCATAAGTGCTCTGTGTTTCCAGTCTTGAGAAGAACACGCCCGAATCTGAACATGGCCATAATGACTTCAATTATCCTCCGTTCCTGCATAAAGCATCACGTGACCTCAGAACCTGCACAGAGGAGCCTTTACTTTCGCATCTGAACTCTCCGTGTGTTCCGGCGCTTGAGCGCGTCTCGTTTAACTCACGTGCACGAAGTCGGCTTCTCCTCGCGCCTTGAACAACCAGTCGACGGTGGCTGAGGCCTCCACCTCTCCGCGCATCTTACAGGAGATGCATCCCAGCTTGAAGGGCTCTCCGGCCACAGCTTCAGTGTCGGAGTCCACCTCGGCACAGGCTCCGCTGCACAGAGACACTGCAGAGACACGGTTAGAACACAACACCTTCATAGACCCCGCCATTTATGCTCAAATACCATCAACACTGTTTCTATCACCGTTTATCTGCTCGTTATAGCACTGTACTGTAGTACTCATTTATTTAATGCTTCGTTTATTCAGTTATTTATTATTTACAACACATTTTATTTTAGTCTATCTATTTATTATAAGCGAGTTTATTATTGCATTATAAATGCATCATGATTTATTTATTTTAACAAACTGCTTTTGTTAATTTTTTTGATCAATGTACTCATTTTAATCAAATGTATTAATTTACATCAATTTGTATTTATTTACAATTACTTAATCAAAAATATTTAAGTTTTGTTTATTTAGTTCTATCATTGCATTCTTTTTTTGCTCACTATAGCACTGTATTTTTTACATTTATTTCATCAGTTTATTTACCTTAAACAAATGTATTTATTTAATTGCATCACGAATTTATTTTCTTATTTACAAAATAATGTCATTTTAATAAATTTTTATATAACATATAATTTTAATAATTTATTTGAATCATGTTTTTCTTCACATTGCAATTACAGTCCTGTACGTATTATTTATTTATTTAAATCAAATGCTATTTACTTTTATCAATGGATTTGTTTGATCAGATTTATTTATATGCATTGTTGTATTTATTTAATCAAATGTTTTATTTATATAAAAAATAAAATGCAATATAAAATATATATTTTAAAATAAAATGTCGCTTTTTTTAATCATTCGTTCATTTAAATCCATTTAAAAAAAATGATTTCCCACTTTAATCTAATTAGTTTGGTTAAATCCCCAGCGGGCCCCGGGCCCCGGGCTGCAGTCCTGAGGGTGAGACTCACCGGAGAGCGCGCAGAACACACACACAAGCAGCAGACGTCTCATCTTCATCATCTTCATCATCATCGCCGCAGCAGATAAACACTCGGTCTGTCCTCTAGTGCTGGATCTTCATGAGAGCTTCAGAAGAGTCACGTGACCTACAAAGATGTTTAGTGTGCAAAGCCAGCCAAGGGCCCCGATTCTCTGCCTTATTGCTTTCCTGGCTCTTTAAAATCAAACCAATGAGCCGAGATCAACAGCAGCTCTGTCTAGATCATCTGCGACACGAACTAGCATCTAAATAAAGCATTCATTGACACACATGCATACGCAGCGCATAAGACTTTTTGGACCAATTCCAGATTTCTGTTCTGGAAATGTATGCAAATGAATGCATATACAAGTAGATAATGCCTTATTTGAATATTTAAACATACAATTTCAGAAAATTTGAAATACAAAACAATTGTCTTATCGCACTGTGCCGGGTAAGTATAGTGATGTCTGTTAGTTAAAATTTTGAGTCTATTTATCTGTAGTGTCTTGCCTGTTTTGTGAATCTGGCCCCTGGTTATTTAGCAACAGAAAAGCATAGTATGCTACAGCACACATTACAGTCCTGCACGGACAAACGGCGTAGCTCTAACTGGAGCGGCTCTGAACACTGCGGTTCTGTTGCCAGGTTCTGCTGAAGAACGTCACCACGGTGTCTCTTCCCTCAGTCATGGACCCTCTGGCCTTCGAGAGCGTGTTAAACTCGGCCTACACGGGTCAGCTCAGCATCGTGCGCGACGACATCATCAACTACGTCACGGTGGCCAGCTTCCTGCAGATGTGGCACATCGTGGACAAGTGCACGGACATCCTGAAGAGGTCGCGACCTTTGGTCCAGGTCACCCCCGGCGGGGCGGCGTCCTCCAGTCACCAGTCGCCCAGCAGCTCCGACTGCTGCTTCGCCGATCCGGAGGACGGGGAGCGAGCGGCGAGCGAACAAACTCTGGAAAAACGGCCGCAAAGCGCACTACCGCCTCTGGCCACATGGAGGCGTCCGACTCAGAGCAGGTGGAGCAGAAGCAGCTTGACGTTCCCCATCCGAACGGAGCCCGGATGCGGCCCGAATACGGGAGACGAAGGTTTCCACGCATTCCCCGTTGCGCCTTTGCCGTCCATCGAAACTTCAGACTTCGCAAGGCACCGAATCCGCGCTCGCCTCCGAGGAGCGAAGGAAGACG